TCAAGGCCCCCAAGATCTCCATGCCTGACGTAGACTTCAACCTGAAGGGCCCCAAAGTGAAGGGGGATGTGGACGTGTCCCTTCCCAAGCTGGAAGGTGATCTGAAGGGTCCTGAGGTGGACATCAAGGGTCCCAAAGTGGACATTGAGGCACCTGACGTGGACCTTCATGGCCCAGAAGGCAAATTCAAACTGCCCAAGTTCAAGATGCCCAAGTTCGGGCTGAAAGGAGAAGGTCTGGAGGTGGACGTGAATCTGCCGAAGGGAGACCTGGATGTTTCTGGTCCAAAGGTGGACATTGAAGGTCCAGAGCTGGACATTGAAGGGCCAGAAGGAAAGGTGAAGGGCCCCAAGTTCAAGATGCCGGAGATGCACATCAAGGACCCCAAGATCTCCATGCCTGACATTGACTTGAACCTGAAGGGCCCCAAAGTGAAGGGGGACGTGGATGTGTCTGTTCCCAAGCTGGAAGGTGACCTGAAGGGCCCTGAGCTGGATGTAAAAGGACCTAAAGTAGGCATTGATGTACCCGATGTGGAGATTGAAGGACCAGAAGGGAATCTGAAAGGCCCCAAATTGAAGATGCCGGCGATGCACTTTAAGGCTCCTAAAATTTCCATGCCGGACTTTGATTTGAACCTGAAAGGCCCGAAAGTGAAAGGGGACGTGGATGTGACTGTGCCGTGTGTGGAGGGTGACCTGAAAGGGCCAAAAGTGGATGTTAAAGGTACTGAGTTGGACATCAGTGGCCCAGATGTTCAAATCGGGGGCCCAGAAGGGAAGTTGAAGGGCCCCAAGTTCAAGATGCCCGACATGCACATCAAGACACCCAAGATCTCCATGCCGGACTTTGATCTGAACCTGAAAGGACCCAAAGTGAAGGGGGACGTGGACATTTCTGTTCCAAAACTTGAGGGAGAATTGACAGGTCCTGACGTTGACATTAAAGGCCCTAAACTGGATGTGAACCTTCCTGACGTTGAGCTGGAAGGCCCTGAAGGGAAGCTGAAGGGCCCCAAGCTCAAGATGCCAGACATGAACATCAAGGCCCCCAAGATCTCCATGCCTGACGTTGACTTCAACCTGAAGGGCCCCAAAGTGAAGGGGGACGTGGATGTGTCTGTTCCCAAGCTGGAAGGTGACCTGAAGGGCCCTGAGCTGGCTGTAAAAGGACCTAAAGTAGGCATTGATGTACCCGATGTGGGGATT